ATGATTGTAGACCAGTTTAAGAGAGATTTTTTAAAACTTCCCTTAATTACCAGTTCATTCTTTTGTCTTTCACCACCAGAGTGGCGGCATATGGGACGGAGTTTACTTGCACAGCGTTACAGTTGTCCAGCGGCGTTTATTCATTTCAACCTAGTAGTGAATTCTAGTGGAACAACTTGATTTGACCATCTGAATGATCTTTGGACATGATAGTTCATCTTCAGCAACATTTCGATGATGCCCACATCTGCACCCAGGAGTTCCTCTATGATTATAACTACAAGAGAGCTAGAGTTGGCTCTTAAAAGCGTGAATTCTGCAAAGAAAGCTTAAATTTTTAACAATCTTGACCAGACCTGAGGTCATACAGAATTCAATATGGTTTGAATAGATTTTTTTGCTTTTTTTTATCCTTGTACGAATCAAGTTCGGAATTGGTCATCGCTCGCATTTTCCATAGTTTATTATACTGATCGCGAATAACAGTGATTAAATGAACTTTTTTATTTATTGATTATCACCCACGGCATGAATTCAGAGGCCCTCTTAAATGGGTTTAAATAGAATATTCTTCACTCCACATCCTGGCAAGACTCTGAGCTAACTCTTTGCAGAATAGTGATCTGGAAGCACGCACATGCGTTTTCTTACAAATTGAGTTGTGATATTTTTCGACAATGTTTTTATCTTGAAGCTTTCATTCAAAGTGATCTTTTCTGGCTTTGCTAGAACGGCAAAATTAATATGTTTGCTGACAAAAGTCAGATGATCTTGCTCTAAAAGTTGGGAACTTTCGCGCATTGAAAATACATTTTCTAATGAAGCAACTTCCAATTTCGAAAATCCACGATAGAGTTTATCTTTCTTTTCAAACGTATTGGGAAGGCTTTGGATTTTCAAACATGAACACCTTAAGCCGCAGTTAAGATGGCAAAAAATTTGCCAAAAGGTAGCTTAGCTACACATATCAAAATGTTATGCCGTCTATCAATAAGCTTTTGAGAAACTTTTTAACATTCCGCGTGGGTCTTGACCATTACGATCAATTCGTTAGCTAGATTTATCATGACCGATAACAGTAACCTAGAGGTCAATTCCTATTATCAATTTCAAAACATTCATAATCCCTGAATATCAATGTGAATCGCGTTCGCTGATGCGATCGGTTGCTGCACCGCACGGGCAAAGTTCTTCTTTCATTAACGAATCGGTATTGATTTTGTTCGTTCTTGTGGATAGAAACTCTATGTCAGTTATGAACAAGCAATTGCCTTGTCCTGATAACACATAACTAACGATTTAAACTTATGTTCATGCCTAGAACAAGGGATGCCAGACACAGCAGAATTTGATTGATGATAGAATTGCATACATGCAAGAATACCGCGTAACATGTTTTAGGTAGTATGCTTTATATC